AAAAGTGCGGGAACGATGTACAATGCTTTCTTCAGAGCATTTCTGCCGTAGAATTTCGCAGCAATTATAGCTGAAAAAAATCGTCTTTCACTGGTGCTGTTTTGACTGCTCTTCCTGTTTTTTTTTTCGAAGATTTGTATCGAAAACCACGAATCAGCAGCTCGAGCAAATACGTTTCCGGGGTTGGAATTCGGAGGAAGTGCTGTACAGATAGCTCGGAATAGTATTGTAGTGTGGAGAAAGGATGTGCCAATAAATGCACACCGCACTGTCGGTTCCAAAGTTTTCAATGCAGGAAACTCGAGATCCAAAGTAAGGGCGGTTGAGAGCGTGAGGCTACTGTTGACGATGACCTTTTATAAGCCCCGATATATCCCGATATAGATAATATCCTCAACTACCACGTTGACGACAGGCTGACGCGCATGCGCGTCAGAACTATGTCATTCATTTTTATTGTGCTTGCGCTCCTTCTTCTCGAGTTTTTTGTATTCATTCTATAGATAATACATTAGCATAACTATAAACCACATGGCAGCCAGAGTGGTCAAATATCCCTTGATTTAGCAAAGATTTTCTGAACGCACAAAACTTTCATTTCATTCTTTCCTAGTATTCCTTTCACTGTCGTAAACATTCATATGAAAGATTGTAGAAGTTAATACAAAACTCTGTGAGTTTCAAGATATTTGTATTTGGGAAAACTAAGGTATAAATGCTTTTAACTTCATTCGCAGCGAAAGTGATGTTTTTTGCTTCTTCGTGGTCATTATGCGTTCTTCTAAACAAAATTCATAGAGTTAACCTTCTACGATTTCATCCTTGCCGAAATAATTCTATGAAATTCAAGTTGTTAGGCATTTAAAACAGAAAATAAGAGTGAGGACGACGCGCTTGCGAAATCGCTCTTGTCCCACGTGGCCAAAAATCCCAAACACGCGATGTCGTCGGCGTGTTAACACATTCACGCCGATGGCCGCCCATATGGGCTGCCAACTGATAATCGCTTGCCAGGCGCTAGGAATGGACAGATAGGTGGGCAAACCTCGTAATCGAGTGTAAAATGCTTTTAAATTCCTTCACGGGGAAAGTGAATAAATGCTCTCTTTTCGTAACCACTATTTGTCGTTCTGATCGAAATCCTACTGTTATATGTTTAGATAATCTTTACGCATTGGACATTGCAGAAATTATTTTGTGACATTCATGTTTTTGTTCATTTACAAAACAAAATCTGCGGTTATGTGGTGAGGCGGCGGCGCCCACAAAATCGCGTCCGTCCCACGCGACCGAAAAGTGGAAAAGGGGCGTCGTCGTGAATGTGTTAAATATACTGCGGTCAGCAGCCCAACGAAGGCAAGCATTTCAATAATATCGCATCACCCAAAGATACTTGGGAAGCTATGAAAGTCGATCAAATAGGCACCGCATGAGCTAACTCATCAGTAAAACCGCCGTCTAGAGTTCTCATCACAACTCATTTTCTCAACATAAACAGCTTTTCTGGAATATTCTGTCATGCTCGGCAAAGACTGGATCCTTGACAACAAAGTAAACGATTCCTTGACATCTTAGCTGTGAAGAACCTAAAAAAATTTTCCGAAGTCGAACTTTCACAAGGAAAGGCTACGTCGGTGGTTTCGTGTCATCTACAGTAATAATGTCCCTTTCTGGAACCGGTGCATTCAATATCGCAACAATGTCTGTCCAGCGATGCACCGGAAACCGCAATGTGTAGCCAGGAGAAGGAAAAGAAATGCCCACCATGTTGCACTCAGCCACATGTCGCAGAAATGACCATGCAAGAACTCGAAGAATGGGCCTGTCCAGCTTCGCTTCACATAGTACATTCACAGGCCCTCTCTTTCACCAGCTTTCCACTTTTCAGTGGTTTCGACAGCTTCATGGGCAGGAAAATATTTGAAATCGAGGCAAGGTTTGAAAGACCTTCACCGATTTACACGCTTCCACGGCATCTAATTTTTTCACTTCGCCACCTTACTACTTTTGAAAACAAATATGTGGTTTTCACTGGTTTTGATTGGTCTGGAAATCCTGGCTCCGAGCCGAGATATATCGCTTCAAACCCGCATTACTTTCTGGACAATCTAATAAAGCCAAAAAAGCGCGTCGATGAAAACTATGCGGCGAGAAGGCGATTGCGATGGAACTACAGATTCCTTTCCACAACATAGCAATTATTCGGTTGCCGAAGTCCAGGTGCTTGAGAAAAAAACAAATCTAGTAACTGAATAATGAGCGTGTTCTGGTCGACTAACAGTGCCTGTTGCAATGCATGGGAACTCATGTAGCCTTCGCCTGTGTTATCGGAGCACACTAAATGTTCTGTTTGGTAAACTGTTCAATCAAATAGTCTCCAAAAGAAGAGGAGCTATGGAAAGGAAATTCCGTGGTCTGGTGACAACAGTATTCGATGCCTTCAGGTTTTGCATGAATATTTTGACTTACCATGTCCATTGTTTAACTCGACTACTTTGTTAATGGTAAAAGGAGTGGGTTCCTCACATACATCTTACGCGAACGCATCAGTCTATCCCAGCACTTCATCTTCTTATGCAACTTTCAGGCCTGGAAAAGCTGCGAAATTTTCTTCACTGAAAGCTGTTACCCATGGACTTTCCCGCCTGCTATGCTGCGCCAATATTGGCGTTAATGTCACGGCCCCACATGCCCTAATCAGTGCCGAAACATCTGACTAAGCATAATCTCCCTTTTCCTGACAAGCCTACGTGCATTGTACGAAGAATACCAACAATCCAAAACAAGTTATAGGGCGAAGATCTTTCAGCGGAATCTGCTCCAGACCTGTCACCGGAATCTGTTGCTGTGTCGATCCAACTGAAAAAGATTCTCTAGATTATTGAGAAGACGAGTGAACGAATCTTGTTCTTCTCTTCTCTAATAAGCTGAAGGATTCTGCACGACCGGCAACCTGAAAATACTTTGCAAATGTTCGAGCGAAATATACGGTGGTGTGTATATTCGTTGGTTGTTGGGTGTACCAAAGAACAAGAATAATTCGAAAATAAGTTGACAAATGCGCAGAGACTTTTTCGTCAACCTAATAGATAGCTACGTCCTGAGGGAGCGATAGCCGAGTGGTCATGAGTGTACATGCTCATTATGCTGACACAGTCTGACAGCTTGAGTTTTTTTTCGATTCCCTACCCGAATTTACTATGCCTGCGAAGTTGCAAACAGTGTGTTGTAGTACAGCGTCAGCTTGAGGGCTGGCCTGATGAGACCTCGTCCAACAGAATGTATTAAAGTCAAAAAGAATCGATAGAATCACAATATTCGATATCCGTAGGTGCGGTACACCAGCTCCAATGGTAACGCCGTGTATATAGCACGGCTATATTAGGTGATAACAAGAAAACGTATTAAAAGCTTCTCGTGGTACTATGACCTGAACTGATTGCTATGTCGCGAATTCAACATCGGAATCTAAAAGATCTGTGTTCGATTTACGCCTGATTCCCTGGGCATGAATATTTCTGGCTGACAATCACATTAGAAAGCCATGATGAAGCTTTGTTAACCTATCTAGGGATGGCGAAACGAATATTTGGAGCCTTATCTTAGATATCTCTCTAAAATTCGCCAATCAATCCTTTGCCCATTTTCGTGGCCATAGCTCAATTTCCTATCCGAAATGTGCTTATTATGAAAATCGAAGCGTGCCCTTCACAGCAAATAGCAGCTACTCTCCCAAGTGATTTGGATGGTGACATTTGTCGCCGCCTTGCCTTGCAGAAGACCTTTGTGCTGAGCTGCCTTTTCCCTGAATTTTCCTTGAATTTTAGCATCGCCGCGCAATGGCCCTTAAATAGGACCCGTGAGAAGGAAACCCTTCAGAAAAGGTTCATCAGCACGGCTCGACCCAAGTTTCTAGACAGGAAAATAAATAAATTGTACAGATTTACTGCCCCTGATGACCCTTCCGATATGTGTTGTTATGGCGACTATTTATGGGCCCGAGCCGGCCAGCTATATTTGCCACCCGGCCGACAAGGCCACGGGGGAGCGAGCGACACACACACCTGAGAGTGGGCGTGGCGACGCTCGGTCGGTTGCCATGCTATCTGTGCGCGTGAAACGAACACCGCCTCTGCTCCTCGTTGCCGTCCTTCCTGCTGCTCTTCTTCTTGTGTCATCGTCATCCGTCTTTGTTTCATGTTCGATCGGTTGCTGTTGACGATTCGACACTAGCAGCTCGATTCTTTGGCCGACTATGTTCGGCTATGACGATGCGTACGGCTATTCAACTGCACTGCTCTCAGTCGCCCCGTATGCCACCCAGCTGGCATTGGCCCCGATCACATGGGTGTTCTTCTTCCCTTTATTCGCTCTACCTGCCATCTCATTAATGCTTTCTGTTGGCAGCCTTTCCACTCATGGACCGGTGCTCACCTATAAACGACTCGCTCCAATTGCTTCCGGTAATTTGTTTTTTCTATTTTGCTTTTTTTTCAAATTTTTCCCATTGAAGAGGGTTTGCTGGGATTCTTTTTATGCGGCCAGAGCATTTCAATGGCGGTCACCATCAATAGGCAACGATTGAACACGCGCTGTCAGTCTGCGTCGACTCGTTGACGAGTGATTGATTGGGCGACGCATGGAACCTGAAAAAGATCAGAAATAGTTCTAATAGTTCATAAATTGGCACGAAATCGGTGCCAAACCTGCTCGAGTCGATTCGTGCACGAGGTTGGTACGACTTTTGATGCGTGGGTGGTGGCCGTCGTCGTTTGGTGTCGCTGACTCGTTGAAGGACAGACGTATTCGATCGAACGGCTGTACCTTCAACGTACTTTCCTTCTATTCTTCATAAACCATCAAACTTGTTTACACTTTTATATTGACGCAAAACTACTATGAAGGGACAGATTGATTTTGCACGTTTACACGATTCCACGATAATCGAATATAATTTAATGTAGTCATTAATTTAACATTTTGTATATTCTGTTAAATTTCTTGTGCCTTACGAGGTTGATTGGTGGAACATTTATTTCAAAGGCCTAACGTTTCGACTGAATCGTCGTCTTCAAAGGCCGAAAAAGTTCGGCTGAATGTGCGGAAAATCTCCGATCAACCTCGTAAGATACAGGAAATTTAGCAGACTTACAACTAACATGCCGAGGTTGCAAGAAGAGCGAAGTTGGAGAATTTTGTATATTATTATTATTATAATTCTGAATTCCTTACCCCATTGGCTTACATTGATTTTGGGAAGGGGTAGGGATCCTGGTTGGCTCAGTTGCCGTGACTGCATTACGAGTGTACCTCTCCAAAAATTTTGCGCCCTCTCTGTTCGCTGATCCCGCAAGTCCGGGTTAACATTAGTAAAAGCCCTATCGGTATTCAGAAATCTTTTGATCTTTAGTTTGATCGCTTATATCCATGAAAAGCGATAGTAATGGCGCTGAGTTCGCTGATTGCTTCCCTTCTGAACTGCTAATATTTTCACCGTAATATTCAGCACCATGGAATTTTCGAATATCCGAATCCGTCTCGGCAAAGGGAGAGCTTAGTTTTTCATATTAGTGACATTTGAGCGAAATGTAAATATTCTTGCTCCCCTAAGGATTCTCTACTCAATTAGTTGACCTACTCTTTCCCTGTCTAAAGACTCCTTGTATCCTCACGAAGGGATTCTTCTTAAAAATCGAGGAACTCCTTAGGAATAACTGAAGAACTACCACAGCAGACCCCGTTGGAGCTCATCCGCAGCGGGAAGCTCCCATAGTTAGCCTCCAGTCCAGGTTGGCTGCATAATCCGCATCGGATATATTAGCCAATGACACGGACAGGCTTCAACGGCTCCTACAATCATTCATGCGGTCTGTCTGGGATTACTCAAGCCACGTTTTGAGTACAAAGATGGGTAGTGGGCTCAGCTGATGGTGATCATCAGTGAGAAGTGGTGTTGATCATCTGAGGAAGAATGAGAACTTCACTGCAAGAAAAAAATGATTTTTCCAATTTTTCATGGTGTCCCACAGTGATGATTTGATTTCGCGCTCACCTTGTTGTGCCGACACAATGGAATGTATTCGATCAGAAATTATAAATTCTGAGACTGCATTTCCATTGCAACAGCGTGGGCTTTCGACAATAAATGCTCATGCATTCTTCATACGAATAATTTTTTCATTTTCAGGCATTCTTCATAAGATCACTTTAATACGTTGATGTAGGTAAAAAGGGAAAAGTGTCAGTGGTTCCTAGCTGGGGCAACTTAACACAAAACCATTTTTTTGTAATTACCTTCATTTTTTAAGCTCGTGTCTACTACTTCCTCTTACATTTTCCTACTGGCACTAGCACAACCCCAATACCGCGTAGATTTTTTTGAGATTCCAAGTGGCTAAATTTGGCTGCTCAGTAGTGTTAAACCACGGATGTCGTATTTATTTATTTATTTATTATTTATTTTGGAACGGATTGCATAAGGCGAGTCGTGGGCAGCAACATAAGAGCACAAAACAACAATCTTTCGCTTAAGTACCTAGTTATATTGTTATTAATTTTGAGCTACCGGAATTTTCCACAATTCTTGAATTTATACGAAGTTATACGAACAAGTGCGGCACCAAATTAGCGCAAACTGGTGGGAAATGGCACCGACGCAAAAACCAAATGCCGCACTCGTTATCAGGGCACCAATTACCCCAAGTGACGAAGTCCTGGCATGAATACAAAATTCTTGAAATAAAGGGGTTTTAATGCCTCAGGAAGTACTCTCTTTTTGTAATTTACTTTCCTCTCTGTGGAGACGGAGGCTTTGCCTCGGAGCATAAAAGCACTAAGCTGGCTTCCGCAAACCATTGCAGAGGCCAAGTCTCATTCAAGGTGCCTTTAAGGTTCTAAATGGGAATGAAATGCGTGGCGCATCTTAGAGAGGGATGCGCCACGCACACTACTGCAACACTGAATGCTTTATCCTTTTACTCTTTTCCATAACTTCCTATTGTGTAGGAATCGGCTGGGCGCTCACATGGCACGTGGCCGAGCGGTTGTACGTCGAAGGCCTTCGAGCCGCACAGAACCTTCTGTATCTTGTGTTCTCGCTGCGGTTTAGTCTCGACTGGGCCGTTACATGTGGGCATTCTTATAACTCGAGGTCAGCTGTGATTCTTACTTCCCTCAAGTGGTCCCCAACTTGTACCTCACTTTTGCTTTTAGGTACTGTGTGAATTTCAACGAAGCGAATATCACAGTTGGCGACTACCATCACAGTCCAGAGAACCACTGGCCAGCGCAGGAGTTCAACAGGTCTGTCGAGTTCTTCAATCCTCTTTCTTTGATTTTGATAGCTATTACCGCAAGTTAGCCTGCACTCGGTATCCTATCGATACGAAGAGAAACGTGAGTGTTTGCACAAGAGTCTGGAACCACAGAGGTTTGAACTGGCGAATCGATAAGCGTATATTTGACTAAGCCGCTACGAGCGCGTACATGGACGTTGGGTGGACCGACGGCTCGGGGGAAAATTGCGCTGCTAGTGATAAACGAGCCACTACGAGACAACTGCCATGACATGAAAGCAGAAAAGGCAATGAAAAGCTGAAGTCGCCTAGCTTCCGCTTATTGGTCCTAGGAAGCTGCGGTGTGAGCCCAAGCTCGGGGATCCATACATTGAGAGGACTGGGTTTGGTGGGTTCAAATGGAAGGCGTGTGATTCAAATCTGGCCCTTATGCACCATGTAACAAACCTTGACGGCTGAACTGCGTGAAGTTCTGGCAAAGTAAACGTAGCTGCGCTCCGCTGAATTCATTAACTCCGTGCGGACTACCGTACCATTCGTGCATCTCGGCACTTTTTGGTATTTTTTCACTAATATTTGATACCCTCTGAATAATCCAATAAATACTAGTGAAGATAATGTTCTGGACACCAAAAAAAACTTAAATATGAAAAATAGATAAATTAATTTGAGGGGGGGGGTCGTAACTTGAGGAGTGAGCGTGGTGATAAGTAAAGACTGGCAAGGGACAACCATGCGGGCAGAGTCAACCCTGCGTTGCGCAGTTCTCAACGGCCACGTTGCGCAGTTTCGCCCGATTAGACACGTTCTCTCGCGCGAACATTCACACTCGCATGCTCGAGCCGTCTGTGTCTCCGCCCATACAGCGTGCGTTGAGGATCTCTCAACGTGCCGTTGCGAACTGCGCAACGCAGGGTTGACTCTGTTGGGACGGTAATTGTAGGCTAAGCCACATGACCGTCCCTAAGCCTGAGCGTGGCAATAGACTTTTACGCCCGTCTTTTCGCCTTACCTATCGCGAGAACTGAACGTCTTCCGGCGACGTGGTACAGTTTGTGCGCGAGTGGTCCACAATGGGTCAACCTCCTCAGCTATCTTGGTCTGAATTATGATCACAGCTCCTTTATATGCAAGTTCCAAGAACTCCGAGCAAAGGCGATATCTATATAGTCTCACAAGCTAATGATTCCTACGAAAGGGGGATAAGAACGTTTTAGGTGCTCTGAGAAAAGCTAGCAGGTGCTGACGCAAGCCAGGTGGAATGTTGACCAGGAAAGGGTTTTTTTTGTGTACTTCCGAGAGACTGTAATCAGCATGTTACCAAAATAGCCATCAGTTCTAGTTCTGGGTGCTGTAAAGGGAGTTTTTTTTCAAAGAAAAAGCAGCATTGGAGAGGCTTTCTTGCATGAACCCTACGCGTGACTCTACACCTCCCCCTACCTCTTGATTCTATGCTTCATCCTACTTGTATGATAATTTTTTCCTGTTTCGTGTTTCCTTTTTAATGACAACTTTCGGTGAGTTCATTGCACTACAGTCGGGTGACAATATACCCTGCAACATGGATTGCCTCGAATGTGAACTCTTCCCTCCCCAAAAGCCTACTCATTGTCGTTTCTATGCATTTGAAAAGTTTGGCTTGTATATTTATCATCGATTATTCGGCTATTTTTCATTACTGTTTTCTTTTTTGCTATAGCACGAAAAATCCATTTTCCTGAAGCATTTGTTGGTGACACAGTCTCATATTGTTATTAAAACTGGATAACTGATATTCCCTCTGAATGTCTGATTTATTTATTGTATTTATTTATTTATTTATTTATTACTTTTCATGGCATGAAACAAGCTAGAACGCGGCGAACGACCCTTCAAAATGGTGAGCTGTCGCGGCACGCCCTATTTGAATTTTTGGGACTTTCCAGCTCTTCCCGTACAACAAGAAAACACAATGCAAGTGCGATTAGTTTAGGAGGAACCCTCAATAGATTTGTGCAAACGTGCTTCAACCAGAACGTTCGACTAATCGTTGGCGTTCGTCCAATCTCCGATCACCACCCTCACAATCTTTAGGGCTCTCGCTATTCTTACAAAAGCTTTTTGAACAATTGCTTCAGACCATATTTATTGCGAATCTCAGCCAAGTGCGTCTATAATATCTTGACCTGCTTCCCTCTCCATACTGGCCTGCTTTGAGCTAGAAAAAGGAAATCATGCAAATTTGCTCTTGGAGTATGCCGTATTCAAGGCTTCAAAAAATGACAACTAAATAATAAGAAACATAGCTAGCCTAGCTGTTAGATAGAACAAGAAAAGCTCTTCAAAACCACATACAGCTCATTGGCGGCTTGCTTGAATTCGTAACAAAATAAAGCGTTCAAAAACGAAACAAAAAAGCGCAAGAACTTTCTTCACGACCTAATAATTATATCCCACGTATCCAACAACTGTTAGAGTGAGCCATGTTCATTGCGACCTTCGAGTTTTTCATTGCATATGTTTGCCTCATCACGGATATTGCCTTCGATGATGTGGAGCCTATATAAAAGAAACATAACACTCTTTCAATCGGTAAGACTGATTCAGAGTGCCTTCATAATATGGCGTGGAACTTGAGTGCGTGGCGCATCACGAACTATCTTCAATATTGGTCATCATTAAAGTCCCAATTCCTATCTTTACTTATTTTATTTTATATTTGTGCTCTTTGTTTTTTGGAAAGTTTGCGCTTTTCTCCCACCACTTTTTCTCGATGCGATAGAAAATTCACTTTCTGTTATGCACTCGCCATCCCGTTTTCTCCATTGGTCTTGTGCAAGCGAGTTACAAGATGAATTCTCTCTAAATGCGATCGATTTTCCGAATACACTCGGCAATGGTCGCACTTTGAATTCTTCTACCCGGATGAGTCACTCGTGCGTGTCTTTGTTCTCGACGATGCATGGGAATCCCTGAATCACTGAAAAGCTCAGGCGCTTCTCCAAAAGCGAGACCGTAGCTTCGCTCCGCTACCAGAAAGCGTTTACAGTACGCGTGTCATGGATAATGTAGTGTGATTGAACCGATTGTTGAGAGTTGCACCGATGGCGATGAACGAAAGGGAACGTTCCAGATTACAGTACTGCTTCACAATACGTGTGTTATCATTTTTTTGGAGGTTTCTTCTAAAATCAAAGCCAGTGGACTATGGACTGGGCGGAACTCTCTATGCACTTACACACATACTTCATTGAATCAGGCGTTATACTGAGCAACCATTCATCAACCTCCCTTTATCAAATGGTGCCGGACTGGGACGGGAAAATTGTAGGATAACCAGACTTCCTTAGAATTCAACAATGAATGAAGAACTTTTCGGCTTATTATAGTTTATCTAAGGAGAGTAATTGGGCTAAATAGTAGCTATGTGGGCCACAGAAGGGACAAAGTCCATCGAAAGTGTCACTCTCTTGGAATACAATGAAGCCTTCCCGGGCTTCTGTCAAGCTTCTGGATCGAGCTCTTTGATGCTAAAGCCAATTGGAAGAATATGTAGATGATAAGCTGAAATATAAGACAAAAAGGTGTGAAGTGACGCTCGCTCACGACACGAACTATTGAACTGACCATAGTGGGATCAAATGCCAAGCTACAGTTTTCTGTGGCGCAATCATTTCCCACTGTTGTTCGCATAGAATTCGACCTCACTCATCCCATTATTATTATAAAGGATAAAGGATAAAGCATTTGCCGTTGATCAATCCCTTTTTGGGATGCGGCACGCATTCTACTTCCATTTGTACATTCGCAGTGGCGTTTGAATGCGATGTGGCCTATACAATGACTTGCGGGGGCCAGCCGATGTTCAAGTCAGTGTTTTTATCCTCCCAGACAAGTCTGGTACCAATTAACCGACCCCGGAGGGATGGAAGGCTTGGTTGGCCCGGGCGACTCACGACCCAGGATTTGATCCCCGGACCGCTCGCGTGGTGAGCGCGCCACTTGTCACTACACCACTTCCGCCCTTTTATTAATTAATTCGTAATCCATAAGACAATTGAGTAAAAGAATGACACCGCGACAAACACGGCGCATTCTTAGAACTCTCTCCCACAACATTCAATTCCATGCATCCCGTCAGTTGTGGCACATCTGTTTAGGCGAACGAAAGAACTGGTTTAGGAATCAACTATGTATGCCACAGTCTTCGCAAAGACTCGTATAGCATACATTATTATTCTTGCTTGTTATGATGAGAATTTGATTCTTAGCGTATTCCACAATGAATAGAAGCATTCACTTGCTTACTGCTTTATGAAATTATATAACTATTAAATACTATTATGATAAATAGTTCTTCACCTCAAATCTCTTCTGCTCAAATGTGAATTTACAAAATTTAAAATTAAGATTAAAAATTAAGTAAAATCAACAACACACTGAAGTCCAAAAAAATTAGCATCCGAATAGAGCCGCACGTAGATGACGAATTTCAAATAAAAGTGATTCATCTGTTATTTGGTGTGACCACGTCAATTTCACTGAATGGGCTGACATTTACAACGTTTTTACGCTGTCCCTAAGGGACTAATATGTCTAATGTTTCTGCAATGCTGAGTTGATACTTGAAACGCCAAAAATCGTCTTTTGGGCTACCATCACATTAAAGGAATCTTCCACGGACCATGGACCAGTGGGCGGGACCGGAAGTGGTTTTGCGACGAAATGCATGGTAGGTACGGATCCACGTTCATGGGAAGGTTTGAAGTGAATCCTGTTCACGTTCGTGCGTTCGACACGTGGATCCGTACCTACCATGCATTTCGTCACAAAAACTTCCGGTCCCGCCCACTGGTCCATGGTCCGTGGAAGATTCCTTTAAGTGCGCATTCCTAGCCCAAAACAATGATGGCACAATGGTTTTTGAACCATCGTTGTGATCAGTTCAGAGAGAAGCATCCTTCCTGTAGCATCCGTGAGGTCTTTCACCTCTCAAGCTTGCCATGATTTTCGATTGTTAGCTACTGTTTGGCCGCAGATCTCGCGAAAATTTTTCCAAGATGCTGCATTTTAATCAATA